TTGCGTTTGAAGTTTATACAGTCAAATCGTGAATAGTTAACCCCATCAAATTGCTTTTTTAACTTGTGCCGGAAAAAATTAATTTTACTTGCTATTGTTAGCACTTTATTTTATTGCAAATTGATTAATTGGATTCCGTTCAATTAGCTAAGGTCTATAGATATTAATGTGTTACAAATATGGATACTTTGTATGTGCATTACAATATTTGGTGAAATGGTTAACGTTACATCGATACAAAAGATAAAAACTTAAAACTGGGATTCCCGCTGTGACTGCATGACCATCACAAGAACATGTCCTCCGAAGTCATGAAGAAGACACGTATAATTGGGGTACCCTACGAGAACCTATCTATAAATCATCAACGTGACGACTATTCGCATAGAAAACTTTCTTCTTCCACTAGGGTCCATGCATTCATAGTTGCCACATGGAGAATGGGTCACGACAGGATTATCAGTCGGTCGGTGTTTAAACCATGTAATACACAGTGTATAAGTGAGGTGCTGAGTTGTAGTGCAATGTTTATAGTATATATGTATACAGTAATGTGAGTACGATGATAACAACATTAAACATAGTATCCTTAGTACGGGTGTGATAGCATCCAATATGATGGCAGGTGCAACTGTAAAAATCTTAATTGTACTTATTTTCAAACAAAAACTATACATTCTTACACTTGATAAAAAATAATGTGTAGGGAAATAATTATTTGAATGGTCTTAATAAGTTTATTTTTTTTATATATTCATTATGAATTGCGGTAACGGGAAACCATTAAATTCATCCCTTTCTCTAGTTAAACATCCATGACAAGGCTCAGTCTTTACTAATAAGAAAAGAGATTAAATTTAAAAACGATCATTATTTTACCTCTTTATAAAATTTGTAAGAATCTGCTTAATTTACTAACACCGTGAAAAAACACCACGAGGTTCTTACAAATTTAAATAAAATGTGAAATCTTGATAGAGTATGACATTATGCAAATAAAATGAATACATAAAGAATTTAAAGAAAAAATGCCCAATCGATATCGTTAGTTTTAACGCGTGGTCTTTAATCAGGAAGTAAAAGTTTTACTCTAATACCGGTCAAACGATACAGTGATATAATTGAATAATATGTAACACTAAACACTAAATGTATAATTATTTTATATCATTTGAGATTCTATAGACAATACTATAAAAATATTTTTTAAAACAAAAATTACCACGAACGAGGAGAATTAGACTTATATAGAAGTATACAATCGTATATAAAAATTGAACTAATAGCAACACTATGAATATGAAATTTGTAATAATTATGTTTCAATAAATATACTGCATATCAATATTTGCCTAGCAATGTGTATTTGTACTCTCAATTTTCAAACTGTCTTCACTCACACCAGGACCTTATCTCAGATTCGTTATCAAAGTGTTGCCTCAAGAGACCAGGCGCTTCTTTGGATACGTCAACGCTAATTGGCATCAAATGAATATATTACAATAATATTTACACTTTCCATAAAAATTACTGTATGGTTGTTTACCGGATGTGACAAATTTTGCATATTATTAAATATGCAGCCAACTTTGTTGTTGGCGACAAGTCGACATACGTGATAATGGAATCTAAATACATTCAATCGTATTCAACGTGCGTGAACCTAAAGTGTCATCCACTTTATAAGAAATACAACAAATTTGGATTGCAATCAAACAGGATTTACTTACTACATGGGTCAAAACTTGGGTGCCGCTTACAGTTACTAATGTTGGTCATCTTAAAAAAAAAACATTTGGCGTGTAATAATATCAGTTGATCGTGATATGAGTGAGATGGTTAATGACAGTTTAATTGTTGATGATGTCTAAAAATCTGGGCTTCGGTAGAGTGATGCGCACGAATAGCGGGCGGTCGTATTTGGCATCACGGTCTGCATAAATCACTGTCCTCTAGTTATTACGGAATTTCGCTGATATGTTTAACCCGAACGATCAATGCGGCAGTAATAATAATAATAATAATAGTTCCCTGTTCACAACAGCGAAAGTGGACTTTGTTAAGAGTTTTTTTTTTTATTATGTAAACCGCGTTCAATTATTAGTCAATACACCATTTGTTTGAATATGTTCAAATTTATACAATATCATTAAACAACAACACCGTTTCTTTAAAAACAAACACGACCGATGGATGTGAGTCATTTAGACGATAAAAGTGATCTCCCGACTGGCTAGTACATAATTATGATTTCTATGCTGCAGCGTACGACGTCATACACTTCCTAGATCACATCTTCGTGTAATTCTCCGGATTCGTATCAGTTAATTAATCGTTAGTTCGTGGCATGTTACAGCATGACCGTTACATCGCAAAAGTAACAATCATTTTAATGTTAACACATTGTTAATAAATAGAAAATAACGCTCAGCTTCACTGGTGTGCACTTTCGGAAGCAAAATATTATTTAGATTAATAATTCATTTAAACCAATGAAATTAATAAGATTATTCCATAGCTATATTATGTAATCGCAACAAACCTTATAATATTTTAAAATCTGACATAGTTGTCAGTTAGATTTACATTCAGCTAAGAAACCTTCGCTTAAAAAATAGTTCTTGATGGCTTTCATTAGTTATACACAAAAAATTTATGAGTGTCAATTGGTGTAACTGTCATTTATATATTTAATAATGAAAAATCAGAAATGAGAATTGATTAGGAATAATTTTATCAAATCAACCGGAATAGGTGTGGAGTGCATGGCGACAAATCGCATCATCATTGGTAAAAGCAGTCTCATTCTAACTGGGTTCATTAGAACTTTTTTTCACAACACTTAAAATACACAATTACTCATTACAATACAATACCATGTGTTTTTTTTTTCAATATGATTAGTGAATGACTTGATGACATACAATGGAATACCGTACTATAATGATATATACATACATGATGTGTAACGCAATACGAACAGGTAAAGAAATTCGATGTATTTGTTAAAAGCGAAGGACGTTTAAGATTTTGTAAAGCGGTTTTTTTAAGTGCAAAATTAAAGTTATTGTTCATTTTGAAAGTAAATGATCGATTATCAAAGAGATTCAAATTTCGTTATGGTTCAGGCACAATTCTAATGTGATTAAAACGTTTTAGATTAATTACATGTGATAATTTCTACCAGACGGAGTCATAAGATTATAATATTGTTCAGTATTAGATTTACTGTTTAACTAACGTACACCTGTATAATTGTCGTGTCAGATTCGTTATAATTCGATTCATGCAATTTAAATGACAGTAATACTTTTAAGGCTACACTTAAGAAATGATAGATAAATCATACGTGTGTCATTATTTTTTAATTGAACGTATTTCCTCGCATTTAATTAGATCGGCTAAATATTTTGTTTCTTATTCTCTCAGCCGTAAATCCTAACCTTTAGATTTACAATATTACATTGCGCAATTACACGGATGAAAACATACGCCTCAATAAAAGTCGTTAATATTAGAATAACTAAAATTGCTATCATACATGTTGTTTATTTTTACAATTAAAAATATACCAATCGTTAATTCAAAATTTCAATGCCATTTCTATGTACTTTTTCTTTACAATGATTATTAGTTAATTTAGTATATGGTCGCTCAGTACAAAACAAATGAAATCATATAGTCTTAAAGTCAAGGAAAATAATGGGTTAGCGTTATACGAAAATGGAGAAGTAAAAAAACTCATAAAAATTAACAATAATTCAAGAAATACCTAATGATTGTAAATTTTATAACGAAATTATTGAGTGAAAAATGACACAATATAAATGATTATTTAACGGAAATAATAATTATTATAGTATTTTTCATAATCGAAACAAGGGTGGAAAATTTATTTATTTTTATTTTGGTTGTATATTTTTAAATTATACGTGCGTTGTGGTTAGTCAATTTGACTACTTAAAATATTGCTTAATATGCATTAAAACAAAAAAAAAGATGACTTGCACACAGTCAAAACTTTTAGTAAAATTTTTTTCTTTTATGCTAATCATTTGAAATTTCAATGCAGATTTCAATTAAGTAGACACATCATCAAGAAACAAGTTTGTTGGTTTACTCGTGTTAAATCGTATCTTATCAAAGACGTATTATCAATCAGAATAGTGATACCTATGGTGAGACAACATATGACGAGATAAACATCTTAATAATTAAGCATTCTTTAAACAAAAAATCGTTAGTTATTATTGTTTATGTTATATAAAGGTAATGCAATTTCTGTTATTGATACAGCTTTAATATTAAGAACACTGATAACTTTTTTTTGTCAATTGTTTCAATGCGGTTAATTACACATTATAAATATGTGAAGTAAAATTTTCTAAAATGTCATCATAATGTTCTTTGTGTTTTGATAAACTTTTCTAGCTACTTCATTGAGTAAGTTTTAAACTCCTCTTGTGTCTAAAATTAAAAATTTCACAATTTATTAAATTGTTTGCCGTAAGCAGTTATTATTATTGCTAGAGTACCAATTATGTTTAAATATCTTTAATTGAAATAAAATTTCAAATTACATAGATTTATTTGATAAAATTCTTGCCACATCCATCTTATTATAAACTCCACTAACGAAAAAATATGTCATAAGCTAATTCAGCAATGACAAACTGAAGGTGTATATTTTATGAATGTTATTACCATTTTAATTGTTGATGGTTATCTAATCTCGACCACTATCCGGGTGGTTATCTAATCTCGACCACTATCCGGGTGGTTATCTATGAGTCAATCTACACTTCTATTTATTTGTNATATGTCATAAGCTAATTCAGCAATGACAAACTGAAGGTGTATATTTTATGAATGTTATTACCATTTTAATTGTTGATGGTTATCTAATCTCGACCACTATACGGGTGGTTATCTATGAGTCAATCTACACTTCTATTTATTTATTTAATATGACGTTATTATTATTTATTATTTATGATTAGTTGCAGGGACATCCGGACGACGAAAATTTCACCAAGCCCGATGAGATCAAAATGTTGCTGACATTTCTACTGTCTGGTGAGCAGAAATAGTAAATTTTATAGTTGATTTAAAAAAAATTATTTAAAAATATACAGGTGTTCAGTAAGTTAGGAAACAGTTAAATTGTTACAAACAATGAGTACAATAGAAATTCGTTTCCTTATTTACTGAACACCCTGTATACATACTTAAAACACAATAGTGTTTTAAAACAGAACAATTTATATGTCATTAATAAAAATTAAGGTTTATAAAATAATTGTATTTGGTTGAAGGAAACTCTCAACCTAGTCACGTACACACAAGGAAAAATACTGTGTTGGAAAGACGAAAAGTCGATAAAAAAAACAATCCACTACTAAATTTATTTTAACAACTCTCTCAATTATTTCGTTATGTATTATATAGGTTTTCAGTAAGTAAGGAAACAGGTAAATTGTTATAAACAATGAGAACAATAGAAGCATGTTTCCTTATTTACTGAACACCCCATATATCTGGTAACTATTGTGATTCAATACTTATTGGATTGTTTTCAATTCTTATAATTTTGAAGTATGTCTTAGGGATTTTCTTACAAATAGTAAGCTATTGTTTTAGTAATAGCTTGTGTCACATGTTTTTATTGAAAGTGAAAAATATATGTTTCAAGATAGTTTTTTATATTTAAAAATTATAAAAACATATTCATGAAAATATAAAAAAAAATTAATTTATTACTAATAATATATGATAAATTGAAATAAAATATTAATATTATTGTATTAATAAATAATATTTTGATTTTGTAAAAAAAAAATGTGTCATTTTTTTCAATTTTTTTTTTATTAATTACAAGAAATAAAATTATTACAATAATTAAATATTTATAATAAATTGTTACCTTATGAAAGCGATTTATTCGCTTTTAAATTTTATATTTTACACAAATCATTAAAATCACTTGGTCTCGGGTGACTTAACAGTTTTTCACAATGAGTATCCTTGTAAAACTATAGTTTATAATGTTAAATAAACATAATTTTACATGATAATAATTTGGGGTAAGGGCGTTTAATTAATTTCTCAATGATATTGAAAAATATTCTAACAAAAAGTAGATTTTTTTACTATAACACGCCTAAGCGTTTCTACACTAATCATTTATTCATTGAATGGTTTGTTCAATAATCTTTTATAAAATAGTAATTAATTGCAATTTCCGTTTTCCGGAAAATATAACTGATATTAAACACTTACGAGAAATTAAAAATTTTGTTTATGTATATTCTTAAACACCTTCATTGATTCTCTTGGATTAGATACACCAAATATAGATTTACATCGTAATTTAGTTTTACTATTACATGAAAGTATTACATATTTTTGTTATTTTTAAGATTTATTTTATAATTACTTACATTGTAACATGAATAGTTTTCTGTTTTCAATAACAGCCGCTGTTTCAAACTTATTTAATGTGTTAGACATTTATGGTCAAACCTACGGCTACTGGCTAAAATTAACCAGACTACCGTCTTCTATAAAAAAATTTACACTGTGATTGAATTAAAAATAAAAAGCTAACATGCACTCAAACCGGTTGACTAAGGTTTACTATTATAACTATTACTAGTATATCCTTGTTGTTACACCTGTCAACTTAAGTGTGCGTTATTTTTAAGGATATTGAATTACATTGATCGTATATAAAGCAAAGTGGCTAGTAGTTTTGTCAGATAATTCTAAAATCAATAAATGAATCATCATATATCATGTTTTCTGCTATGTGATTCAAGAGGTAATCAATTTAATGTCGGAATTTCTAAATAAAATATTCTGCATATGCTTTATTTTTTCTATTCGACATCACTTAAAACATTTTATAAAAGATCTATTGGTTCTTCTCCTTCATCTTATTTCGATTTAATTGGGGTCGGTCACCTTATTTCATTTCAAAATTCAAATAATCATTCACATCCATCACATTTACAATAGTTCTCAGACATAGTTCCATACATCATTCTCGCTATGTAAATTTCTTATTTACCACAATAGCTCTATACATTCTGCTAATAATACTTGAAATTTATTAATCCCTATGATTTTATAAATAAATATTTTTTAATTGGCTGCTTCAATAAAATATTGTATCACCATAATAAACCTTAAGATACATTAGCTCTCATGTCTTAATAATTTTTTTTTATAAAATACCAATATGTAAATGTAATAGAAACAAATGTATAAGTTATATTTGTAACAGTATTTCAATTGAATAATATATATTGTGTCGATTATTATTATTATTATTATTATGCGTATGCCAATTACTTTCTGAACTAATTCTGGACTTGTTTTTTGATCTCGAACAAACCGGATATTACAGAATGTAAAACAATTTTTACGTATCTCACATAACAGTAATAATAAGATCAATTTCCGGATTTATTTGTCATTTCAGCCACTGTACAATTAAAGCGAAACACTTCAATTACTTTTGTGCCACTGATTGAGTGGGTTTTCTTTTCGTATTTTATTGCTAGTAATATGTCTAATAAACCTACACGATGAAACTTTCAAACAGTTATACCAGCAATAGGTAGAAAATATTATTTTTAATTAATGGTACCTAATATACACAACAAATTAACAAATTGTATTCCATTAACATACAACTAAATTAACTAAGGAAATAATTTTAATTACTACCTCTATCTTTTGATTAAAAATTTTATTTAAATATTTAACAATAATTAACTGAAGATTCGCTTTTGGAAATATTTGAATCGATTAAAAAAGTAATGCTTTATAAGCAAATTACACCATTATAATTTTACATTTAAATATTCACGACTAATCACAACTGCCAATTATCTTATCCAGAGACTTTAACGCTATATATTATACACACGTGTACCCATAAAATTCTAAGGTGTTTCTAAAACCGTTATAATTTATCTTTTTATATTTTGACTAATTTATCTTATTGAAGATAATTTTTAGAACGCAACTCATTGCATAATTTATTATTTTATTAAAATAGGAAAAAGCGAGGCGTTAAATTATATTTAATTCTAACTTATACGTCGTTCATAATTTATATTATGTAAAACATTGTAAATTATTGTTTTACGAGAATAATTTTTATATTTATGTACTAAGATTCTTTTTATCAAATAGAATGTGCTTTAGACTATTGCAAATGATTTCTTATCTACTAGATAAAATTAATAAGTTATTACAAAATACTAAGTTAGAATTTAATATCATGAGGTCGCGATGAAAAGTATAGTTAATAAAAAAACAACATTTGAATTAATATCACTTTTAAACTTACCAAATAATTTTAGATCATTTTATCATTTTATCTTGTGAGCATTACTATTTTATCGCTTAACACATTAGAGCAACACTATGTACCAATATTTGTACTAACAACTGACTATTTTTTTTATGATTATACGATAAAAAATATTTTATAAACTTCGAAGTCTATAATGATTATTTTTAATTTTATTATATAAAAAAAAAATGATAATTAAGTTTTTACTTTCATTAAAGTTTAATAGTTTATTTGTTTGTCACTATTAATACTCGATAATGACTTGAACATTTTTAAAAACTAGTTTAGACGTAATCATATAATAAAGCGTTCCTAAATATAAGTAACATTGCCCAAAAATGTAGTATGACCCATTTGTTTGTATTACAAGTGACAAGACTTTCCGGCCCCTTGGGATTTGTTAGATAATGTGAATAAAAAAACGTTGGTGGCTCTCAATAAAAATCAAAATATGAAAACTCATTTACTTGATTATCAATGAAAAAGTTTAATTCATAAGCCGCACAGAAAACCAGTCGCTATAGGCTTAATTATTATACTGCTTTTAATTGTCCAATACACCTGTCATATATTGTTTTCCAATTATTCTCACGCGTCACAATGTCAATTAAAATACTAATAATTATTGAAATATTAGCATAATATACAATTATTAGTTCATTATCAATATAAATAGTATATTTAAATATCAATTAAAAATATTAACTAATAAAATCACAACTTAACCAAATTGTAATCATTTATATCTCGAAAAATGAGTACAATCTTTATTTTATAAATTTACAACAAATAGTTACAAAAAGAGCTGACAAATAGAGCTGACAAATAGAGGATACTTAAAATTATTATGTTACACTAGCAATATACGAACTTATATGATAAAAATTCTCGCAAAGGTTCAAAGGTGATGGTAGAAATCTGAGAGTGCGTAGGCACAAAAATATGATATATTTTTTGTGTGATGTTAAAAAAGAAAACATTAATTAAAACTTTTATAATGACATATGATATATGAACGTGAAGCCTGTATGGGTCGAGATTAAAATTGTTAAATTAGAATTTAATGTAAGTGTATTATTTAAATTTGAATTGTTTGATAATAATAATATTTTACTTTATTGGTAATTTATCAATGTTTTTATACAACAATTGCAACAATAAATAACTTATTCACTGAATAAAAGTTTATTGACCAGTATTTTTATTCAAAATCTATATCACATACTACACTTTTTTTATTTTATTCACTATATTATAATATAAATTTATCAAAATAATGTTTAGTTAAATTTAGTGTATTACAATTATTTTGTATTGTTTCAACACCATAAATATGCAGTACTACTCAAATAAAAACTAGCCAATTTTGTAAAGCTGAGAAGGTATTGGTTTTACTAAGATGTGTTTTTTTTTTTTTTTGTGTCTGTTACCACTTTTTCTCAGCTCTCACCGAATCGATTTCTTTCAATGATACGTCAAAAGATCACAAATCGTATCTAGTCGAAGACATTACCCTCAAAAATTGAAAAAAATTCCCTCATTCCTCGTAAATGGGGGAAACCTCCGAAAAAATTACAAATTAAAAAATGGCTAATTTTCGAAATTTTTTCAATTTTTTTTACTAAAAACTGCCCTAACTTTTTTAAAAATAAACATATCAATATAATTCTTTTTTTTATAGATGCATGATGTCATTACCTATCATTTGGTA